CATAATGCAGAGGCATCCAGGAATGACAACCATATATGTGAGGTAGGATTAGTTCCACCCATGACCCAGAGGTTACAGAGAATTACTTACAGTATACCTGAAGCTGCACGAAACCTTCTTCACTTTCCTCATGGTAATAATCCGCTAAGAACTTGTATGTTCCTGCATTATCCTTATTGACATTCTTGATGAACAAGGACCAATTTGACAACAATTTCATATTATGTCGGTATGCAGGCCCAGGAATACTTGTGCCATCTTTTCTATTTGAATATATCACGTTCGTTTCAGATCCTTTTATCTTAAACCATTTATTGAGGTCAGGTTTCGTGAAATTATAGACATTTAGAAAAACGTTATTCCCTACAGCAGCAATGGGTGGAACTGCTTCAACAGTGAGGGATTGTACAGCGGTTTCAGAGCTCCAGTAGGTTAAAAGAGAGACTAAGAGGGAAGAGAGAAAAAATTCTATCAATATTAGGACCTTTGCTTTGGTAGAACTTTGAAATGTGAGTGTTTAACTCTCAGCCTTGGTGTGTGTGTCCTGTTGAGGGGAGGTCAGCAGTTCACCCCCATTCATCAGTACCCCTGAATTTTCCACTTTATGAAACTGGCTTCATAGTGTCTTCACAGCTCACCCCTCACTGCCCTCAGATCCCTACTCATACTCAGAATCTATGGTGAGTGTAGCATGTCTTGTCTGACCTCCTCCTCTAAAGACTCTGTGCCTTCATTTTCTGACCTTTCCCTGCTCTGTTTCCTCTGAAGTGTTTGTCAACCCCTGAAAACCACCTTCTAGATGTCCTTGCTGCTCTGTCTTCCTGCCCAATAGTAGCAGGGCTTTCTGAGGAGGACTAGTTTGATTTTGATTTAAACCTCTCTACTTCAAACAGGTTCAGATACCTGTGAGCAAATCAGTGTCCCAGAGCCTGGGGTTTATTTGCGGATTTCTCAGGGTCCTACATAATGATGTTGTTTACTTGCCCACTTTGAGTTTTACTTGAAGAGTCACCCTGATGGAGTTGTCAACTTGAGTCTTCAGGATACAGTGACCAGTGCTGATAAATCTACAATGGGGAGCAACTGAGTTTTTCCTCCCCAATTTCTGATTCCCACCCACTATGAGCTTCCTGATGGTCTCAAGCTTCAAGCAGAGCCAGATGTAATTTCTCAGGCTCTTTCCCTCTCCCAGAAGACTCCATCCAGTCTCTGAGCTCCCCAAATCTCTGTTCCCGAGGAATGTCTCCTCACCAGTGAGCAGGAGTCCCCTCCAGAAGACCTGTCCTTTGTGGAGAGGGGCTGAGGTGACCTCCATATTCTCTATTGGAGGCTAGGCTTTTCCTCTGGAGAGGAGGTTTGTCTCTGAAGCTGCTGCCAAGCTGGGCTCCTCTGGTGTCTGCTCTGCTTTTATTTCCAGACCTCAGCCTCCTCCCAGAGGAGGACACTTCCTGGAGTCAGATGGGCTGGGGGTGGAGGCTGTGTGTGAATATTGTTCTGTTCTTCTGTGAGTGCTGCCTCCCATCCTTCTGTTCCTTTGTTGTTCAGTGTTCTAGAACATACTCTGAGCCAAAAGGCTGAGAAGTGTCCCGAGAGAACAGCAGCTCACCCCAGGGCCTTGTCCCTGAACTTCCTAGAGCCAAGAGCATATTTCCTTGAGACCCCAAAACCTAGCAGAGCCCAGTCTGCCCTGTGATCTCAATGCTCAGGGAAGGTGGGATTTATTCCCAGCAGAGAGTGGCAGTCTACTCTAGGGGCAGGAAAAGATCCAGCTGAGTGATGTCTGTGGAGGGCCCAGAACTGTCAACACCACTGTCACCAATCATGTGTCTGATGAAGGAATACATGTTATCTCAGGGGTTCATATTCTGGTGTGCAGGAGAAGGTCACCTGTGTTTCCTAGGAAGAAGACCCTGTGCTCCAGTTTCTTATGGAGGGCATCAGGGAGACTCCTCCACCCCCAGCTTCCTTCGCTGGCTGAATGTGATTCAGGTCTGCCCATGCCCTCCCTAACCTTCTGGGTTGCCTTTGCTCTCCTTGGTGATTGCCCTGTGATCTCTCTGTCTTTCCTCATGGATGATGAGAGGAGGGAGGGGACTACATAGGGTCTCCTTGCAGAGTGGGAGTTTCAGAGACACTGGAAATGATTATGTAAGGGAGCTCCAGGTCTGTTGGACCTGGGATGGAAACAAGGCTGCAAGATAGGTTCACACCTCAAGCAGAGTTTTCCCTGTTGATTATGCGGTTTATTGTCATCCCCTGTTGTTCTTGAGGAGACCTGCATCTCATGTTTGGGCTACTACAAGGATGGTACCCAAGCTGCAAATGCTGGAATGAAGCTGAGCACCAAGTTTTCCAGAAAGGTTCCAGTGTGCAGCTGCCTTTGAAGATCTAGGCAGATTTTTGCTGGAGACCATAATAGCTGAGGTGAGACTCACTGCTTTTTTGATCTGCAGTTCCAGAAAGGCTGATGATGTTGAGCCTCCTTTCCATGTGTTTTTATTGGATTTTTTTTATGTCTTGTTCAAGACAGGAATATCCAAGTCCTTTGCTAACTCTAAAATTGTTTTATTACGACTTTAAATTTTAAAGCCAAGTACATTCATTCACTAACCATAACACATTCTAGACTTACAACCTAAAATGAAAACCAAACCAAACACTGCAAACTTTTTTGTTATTATTTTTTCTTTTATTTTACATACCAACCACAGTTTCCCCTCCTTCCTCACTTCCTATTTCCTCCCCCACCTCCCATCCTCCCTCCCATCCATCCCCTCCTCTTCCATTCAGAAATGGACAGGGCTCCCATGGCAGTCAACAAAGCATTACATATCAAGTTGAGGCAGGACTTAGTTCCTCCCCCTGCATCAACCTTCACAAGGCATCCTAGCATGGGGAATATGTTCCGAAAAACCAGCTGAAGCACCAGGAACACCTGAACCTACTGCTAGAGGCACCACAAACAGACAGAGCTACACAACTGTCACCCACATTTAGAGGGCCTAGGTTGGTCCCATGAAAGCCCCCTAGCTGTTGGTCCAGAGTCTGTGAGATCCCACTAGCTTGTTTCCGTTGTCTCTGTGAGTTTCCACATCATGATCTTGACCTCCCCTGCTCATACAATCCTCCTCCCTCTCTTCAACTGGACTCCTGGAGCTTGGCCCGGCTGTTGACTGTGAATCTCTATGTCTCCTTCCATCATTTACTGGATGCAGGCTTTCTGATGACAACTAGGATAGTCAACACACTGATTACAGGAGAAGGCCAGTTCAGGCTCCCTCTCCACTATTACTAGTGTCTTAGCTGGGGTCATCTTTGTGGATTCCTGGGAGTTTCCCTTGCACCAGATTTCTCTATAACCCACATATGGCCCCTTTATCAAGATATCTCTTTGATTACTCTCCCCCTCCATCCCATCCCAGCTGAACCAATCGGATCACTCATGCTCCCATTCCTTTCCTTCTTTCCCACTGCCCCCACTCCCAGTTTACCCAGGAGATCTCATATATTTCCCCTTCCCAGGGAAATCCATGTGTCCCTCTTATGATACTTTTTGTTACCTAGCTTCTCTGGGGCTGTGGATAGTAACCTGATTATCCTGTGCTTTAAATCTAATATCCACTTATGAGTGAGTAAATACCATGTTTGTGTTTGAGGGTCTGGGTTACCACACTCAGGATGATTTTTTTCTAGTTCCATCCATTTGCCTGCAAGTTTCATGATGTCATTCTTTATTATTGCTGAGCACTTTTTGTGTAAATATACCACATTATCTTTATCCATTCTTTGGTTGAGGGGCATCAAGATTGTTTCCAGGTTATGGCTATCACAAAACAATGCTTCTATGAACATAGTTGAGCAAGTGTGTTGTGATGATTGAGCTTCCTTTGGGTATATGTCCAAAATTGGTATCTCTGGGTATTCAGGTAGATTGATTCCCATGTTACTGAGAAACCCTCATACTGATTTCCAAAGTGGTTGTACAATTTTGCACTCCTTCCAGAAGTGGAGGAGTGTTCCCCTTACTCCACCTCCTCTCCAATATGGGCTGTCATCAGTGTTTTTGATTTTAGTCATTCTGAGAGGTATGAGATGGTATCTCAGAGATGTTTTGATTGGCATTTCCCTGATGGCTAAGGATGTTGAACATTTCCTTTAGTGTTTCTTGACCATTTGAGATTCTTCTGTTCAGAAATCTCTGTTTAGATCTGTATGCTGTGGGATGTTCTGTATGTCAAATGTGTTGCTGATTAGTCAATAATTAAAACACTGATTGGCCATTGGCTAGGCAGGAAGTGTAGGCGGGACAAGGAGGAGAATAAAGCTGGGAAGTGGAAGGCTGAGTCAGAGAGACACTGCCAGCCGCCACGATGACAAACAGCATGTGAAGATGCCGGTAAGCCACGAGCCATGTGGCAAGGTATAGATTAATGGAGATGGATTAATTTAAGCTGTAAGAACAGTTAGCAAGAAGCCTGCCACGGCCATACAGTTTGTAACCAATATAAGTCTCTGTGTTTACTTGGTCGGGTCTGAGCGACTGTGGGACTGGCAGGTGATAGAGGTTTGACCTGACTGTGGGTCAGGCAGGAAAACTCTAGCTACATCTGTACCTCATTTTTAAGTTGGATTATTTGGTATTTTGATGTCTAGTTTCTTTAGTTCTTTATATATTTTGGAGTGTAGGGCCCTGGTTCCCATTTTGTGTAGCTTTTGTCTTGCTTGCTAACCTTGACCTTGATGTTCTCCCTTTCCTAATTCCCTGCTGGTTTCCACCCTCCTGAATGCTTAAGGGAAGTTCCTTGTTTGTGTATCCTGCATATTGGGCATTAATACCTTAGATGCAGGATTGTAAAACATTGGTAGCGAGCTACTACCATCCGGAGTTCTCCCATTGTGCTGTAATCCTATATTTAAGGGCTCCTCCCTACCTCAATAAATGGCATTTGGCATTCTGCTGAGGCAAATGACCTGCTGTCTTCTGTCTCTGTTTTTTGATCCACAGCCCCTCGCTTGGAAATGGTGAACAGGTGGTGGTAGCACTGGTGTTACCACTACAAGTGGAGGTCCCACCGAGATCCAAGAAAGAAGGGACGCGCTGATGCACACCCAAAGGTAAGGCTGGCCAGCATTTTAAAGAAAATAGCATCCATTTCTCCCATTCATGAATATTTATTGCAAGTGCAAGGACTCATTTGGTCCTGCTCACATAACCTTTATGTGGGCCATATTAGAGCTCATACTCAATTGCCTGGACCACTAAGCAAAGGTAATCAGAGGGCTGATGCCATTACTCCTATGGCTGTCACATTAGTTTGTTCTGCCTTTGAAAAGGCTACTCAGTTGCATCAATGTTATCATCTTAATGCTGGATCTCTTTGTTATCATACGAGATTAACCCGGGAACAAGTCATCCAGATAGTTAAATCATGTCCTATTTGTATTGAATTTTACCTGTTCCTCATTTGGGAGTTAATTCCTGAGGACTTTTACCTAAACATGTGTGGCAGATGGATGTCACACACGTGCCTTTCTTTGGAAAATTACAATATGTCCATGTGTCTAATGATACATATTCCTCTCTGATTTTTCCTTCTGCCCATTCAGGGGAAAAGGTTAAAGATGTAAAGAATCATTGTCTTCATGCTTTTGCTTATATAGGAGCACCAAAATGCATAAAGACTGATAATGGTCCCACCTACAGCAGTACAGGATTTTCAAAATTCTGCCAAGATTTTTCTATTGTTAATAAGACTGGTATTCCCTATAATCCTCAAGGACAGGCAGGCTATAGTAGAACGCGGCCATCGTACCTTAAAAACATATTTTGCTAAAGTAAAAAGGAGGGAGCTAGGGGCTCATGTCTCCTCTCTACATTCTATTCTTTCCCTTGTTTTATATATTTTAAATATTTTATCAGTGGATTCTGCTGGAGTATCCACTGCAGATAAGCACTGGAGGGCTCCTCTTGCAAATCATCCTCTGGTGTGGTGTAAGGATCTTTCTACTGGCACTTGGAGGGGACCCCATCAGGTGTTGGTGTGGGCCCGGGGTTCTGTTTGTGTCTTTCCTCAGAACAATGAGGTTCCTCTTTGGGTTCCTGAGCGCTGTGTGCTCCCTGTGACTGCTGCCAAATCCCAACATGGCAGAGACCTATTGTGCCTTCGTGAAAAACTCTCCCCTTCTGATGCCAATGGGGATTGAGAGCCCAATATGGCCAGCCTTGGCAAGCATTAATGTAAGCCTAGGAACTGTAGCCATGCAGTTGGATTCTTCAGAAGGTAATGTAGGGTAACTGCTTTTTCAAGTATGTCTGAGAACATGTCACCAAGACACCTTGGAGATTAAGGATAACCCTGAAGGTCACTGACATCCATTTGTTAACAGTAGCATGCCAGCTAAGCCTTTTCATTTTTTGCAACCCTCTGAAAGCTGGTGTAGTACCTACTTTTCAGGAGTGGCTCTGTGCAATATTTATTGGCCTCCTGAAATTCATTTTGCCCCCTTTGAAGATACCTTAAAATTTGTGAGCCTGAATGTAGCCATTATGAGACAATTAGTTCTGCACCTTGTGTGTTGTCTGTTTTTTTGTTTATGGTTCTTACTTGTTCTTTTGCAGAGTTGCCAGCTTAAGTCATGCCGAGATCAATAAAAATGGGCCTTGGTGGTTCGTGTTCCTGGAGTTGTGTCCATGCCAGTGGATGCCCACACACTCCAGAAGAGAATTTGACATTGCTGCTGCTGTTGTTGCTGTTATAGCCGTAGCGGCCACTGCTGCTACTGTTTCTGGGATTGCCATTTCATAATTGGTTACTACAGCTAGCACAGTGGAGACCCTGGCAGCAAAAGTAGCTACCACAGTTAATTACTCTTTCATTCTATTGGGCATGATAAATTTAATTCAGTAGTTATATACATTTCAATTGGCTTTGAAAGTTGTAAATTTATAAACTCAAGTTCCATTTGCTTTTGGGATACCATCTTATGAGGACTCCAATTGGCAGTAAGGCTCATTTAGGAAGGGAATGGCTCAATTGCCTTTAGCCTATTGGCTATGGGTGGGTTAGGACTTCTGTTGGTCTTTTCTGTGTCAAACACACAGATTGAAAGCCCAGTGCCACTCTGAGATCTTTGTTAGCTGTAAACTCTGCAGCTCACACACAGTTGTGCCTTTATGATAATGAGTATTCAGAGATGGGTAATGCCTGGGGGGCACTCATCAACCTAAGACAGAGCGCCTGTGTGGCCTGGGCAGGTGTCTCCATGACAGGTAAGGTGACCTGCTGACATCCCATGCAACCTAAGTAAGAAGCTCATTTTTTAGTAAAAGGGGGGACCTGTAGGGCCCTAGACCCCGTTTTGGGTAGCTGTTGCCTTGCTTGCTGACCTTGACCTTGATGTCCTCCCTATGCTAATTCCCTGCTGGTTTCCACCCTCCTGAATCTTTAAGGGAAGTTCCTTGTTTGTGTATCCTGCATATTGGGTGTTAACTGCTTAGATGCAAGATTGTAAAACTTTGGTAGCAAACTTCTGCCCTCCAGGGTTCTCCCATTTTGCTGTAGGCCTGTATTTAAGGCCTCCTCCCTCCTTCAATAAACGGCATTCAGCATTCTGCTAAGGTGAATGACCTGCTGTCTTTTGTCTCTGTTTTTTGATCCACAGCCCCTCTCTTGGACATGGTGAACCGGTGGTGGTAGTGCGGGCATTACCACTACATAGGAGATCAGCCCTCTGTGGGGTTAGTAAAGATCTTTTCACACTCTGTAGGCTGTTGTTTTGTCTTATTGACCATGTGCTTTGCCTTACAGAAACTTTTCACTTTCAGGATGTCCCATTTATTAATTGTTGATCTCAGTATCTGTACTACTTGTGTTATATTCAGGGTGTTGTCTTCTGTGCCAATGCATTCAAGGCTACTTCCCACTTTCTCTTCTATTAAATTCAGTGTCACTGGATTTATGTTGAGGTCTTTGATCCACTTGGATTTGAGTATTGTGCAGGGAGATAGATATAGATCTATTTCCATTCTTCTACATGTGAATATCCAGTTATGCCAGCATCATTTGCTGAGATAGACAGCCGGATCTTATGGAGGCATTTTCTTAACTGGTGTTCCCTCTTCTCACATGACTCTAGCCTGTGTCAAGCTGACAAAAAATTATCCAGCATACATACTAAATCTGACTAAACTAAAAGTCAATACTCATCACAAAATCAACTTTAGCACTTTTTATGAAATTCTTCTAGAATTTAAAAGCAAATTAATTTTCCACATTGGAAAATCTTTTAAAATATTTTTATGTCCTTTAAAATTTTTTTTTTAAAAATTGTGTCCTTTTGCTTCTCAGAAAGCCTAAGGAGGTAAACCAGTTCTCTATTCATTCTTTCTTTTTCAAGATTTCAAAAGTAGAGTCGAGAGAGTTCATTTTTTGTCCTAAGTATCTTTCTTTTTCTTCAAAGAGTGAAGAGAATTGCAGACACTTGCTTTAAAACATGTTTAAAATTCATTATTTGATACAAGCTCACATACACAGATATATAAATATATCTTGGTCATATACAACCCCATTACTCTATCATCACTTCCCAGTCCTGCTGAATTCTTCTTCCTAAAATGCTCCCCTCCTAAATGTTTCATGTATGCATATGTAATTTAGTGTGTGTGTGTGTGTGTGTGTGTGTGTGTGTGTGTGTGTGTGTATGAGTGTGGGTGTATATCACATTATGCAGAGGTCAGATGGTAACTTTCAGGAGTTGGTCCTCTCTTTTCATCCTTGCATGAATTCTGGAGGTTAATCTCAGGTCATCAGGCTTGTGCAGCAAATGCTTTTAGTAGCTAAGCCATCTCACTGGGCCTCCATCTTTGTCTGTGTGTTCAACACTGTGTTATTTAGGGCTTCTTACATGAGAACGGGATGGTGAGGTGGTTAATTTCCACACACACTGATCAAGAGACACCTGTGCAGTTCCTATAGTATAGGAAATTAAGCACTGAAGAAAATAATTTCCCATCCCTCGGTGGCCACTAATTGCCAATGGGTTCTGAGGAAGAGGTGTGGCCTCTTGAGCCCCTATCTGGTCCATAGTGTGCTGTTGATGGGCCAGGCTTACACAGGTCTTGTGCTGCTGTGATTTGATGAGTTTATGGCCATATCTTGACCATAAACATGAACTTACTGAGAAGTCTCCTAAACCCATCAGAATAGTCGGCTTATATCCTGACACCTGTCCACTGAGAGTCAGGAGAAAGAGATGCCCGGGTGACCTATGAACTGCAGATGTCATGGCGGTGTACAGCTAGCTCCACACTCTATGGGTCTTGGACAGTAAGTAAATCCTTGTTTCCTGTCATCTCTAACAGGAAGTCAAATTCTAGCCCTGTATACAAGCTCTCTATGGTCACCTGGAGTTGAATCTGGAACAGATGTCTGGAGCCAGGCCTTCCCGATTCTCACCTCACTGTGATGAAGCTATAGATCTCCCAGAGAGACTCTTCTTGACTCCCACAGGATCTTTCTGAGGGCCATGCTGGTGGGGGATGGGTCTGGCTGAAGATAGTCTCCCTTTTAAATTACCATTCCACAGGTCCTGCTCTCTCTGGATAGATTCTCGTGGGAGTTCTGATCTTTGCAGTTTGTCTCTTAAGTGTCTGGAGTCTGTGGCACCTGGGAAAAGTCTAATCATGATTTAAACATTTGTTCCTTAGCTGCTATAAGGACAACAATCTCTGAGCCAAACTAGAGCTGCACTGAGAAGGGAGGTCAGGGAAGGATTTTTAAAGACGAAAACCAGAAGAAGACCTTCTGTATCTACTCAAGAAAGCAAACAGCAGTATGTTCTGTCAAGTTAAGTCATTTAGTCATAACAAGCAGATGGTCACAGCTGTACATTTTGGGGAGGGGGTCACTGAGACAGGATATCTGGGAACTTATCTTCCAGGGACTGGAGTCAGAGACAAATGGCTAGTGGGTACCAAGATGAATGCCTAGCATAAAATGCAGTTTCTTTAGCCACCACAACACTAAATGCTCAAACCCCAACATGGGATCACAATGCAAGGAGGAACTGGACAGTGACCAAGCTGTCAGTCTTGGGTGTGAGGTGGAATTAATCCCACCTGCATCCAAAGGTCACAGATAGTCATTCTTCATGGGGTACATGGAACTTGACAGGTGTCTGTTGATCAGTGTGTGTAGTATGTTCTCCTGGATGACATTCTGCAGCAGCATGCATTACAGAATATTGTTTCTCTCCCATTGTGTGCAGGTCCTGGATTAATTGAATGAGTGGTTTTTTAATAATATGCAATTTCTTGTCTGATGCCTAGAATTTTCCCTTAGTACCAGTAAAACGCATACACAACTCTCTCTGACTGTGGACAAATAGAAGCATGTTCTTCCCTTCGGCAACATAAGTGGCATTGATTAGTAAGGAGCAGGGCAGCAGTGGGAGAGGTCTGTTAAAAGTGAAACTAACAGTGAAAAAAGAGAAACCCACTGTGGCAGTTTGAGTGTAGTTGGTCCCCATAAGTTCACAGGGAATGGCACTATTTGGAGGTGTGGCTTTGTTGGAATAGGTGTGGCATTGTTGGAGGAAGTGTGTCACTGTAGAGGCAGGCTTTTGGGGAGTCTCATATATACTCAAACCATGCCCAGTATCTCAGACCACACCCTGTTACCTGCAAGTCATGATGTAGGATACTCCTCTACTTCTCCAGCACCATGTCTGCTTGCATTCACTGTGTCTGATCATAACAATAATGGACTAAACCCCTGAAAATATAAACCACCCCAAGTAAGTGCTTTTTCTTGGTAAGAATTGCTATGGTCACAGTGTTTCTTCACAGCATTAGAAAGCCAAAGTAAGACAGCAATCAACATCAGGGCCTTTATATTTGTAAGAAAGATGGGCTGCAGGTTCTAAGCAGGTATGTTCATCACTCTGCTTTGGTAAGTGTGTGTGTCTCTGTGTATGCGTGTGTGGGGTGTGTGTGTGTGTGTGTGTGTGTGTGTGTGTGTGTGTGTGTGTGTGTATGTACATTTGCATGCTACTAGGTTGAAATCTGTGGCATGGCCCCTATCCCCCCAGTGCCTTTGGTCTTATAATTTGTTCTGAATGGAACTCTCTCCTTAGATGTCCATATAGCTCACTCATACCCTCACTATCTTCAGATCCCTGCTCACACTCAGAAGGTTTTGGGTGTATGTAAGTTGTGGATAACCTTCCCTGACATTCTCATCTAGACTCTGGGTCTTCACTTTTGACTTTTCCCTGCTGTTCCCTCCATTGCATTTCTTAACCTCTGACCTCACCCTCTAGATGTCCTTCCTGTCCTGTCTTCCTGTCCCCTGGAACTCTGGCTTTGTGAGGAGAGGACTAGTCTGATCTTCACTGAAGCTGCTGCCTGGACAAGGTTCAGATACCTGTAGGTGAATGAATGAGTGGTCCAGAGCATTGCTAGTAGCCAAGGACAGTGTTTACTGCCCTGGGTTGTTTTTATGTGGAGAGTTACCCAGACCCAGCTGTGAACTGTGTCTTCAGACTACAGAGGCCAATGGTGATGAACCTAGAATGGGATCACTTATGCTTCTCTTCCTTGTACTGGTCAGTTCTTTGTTGTTGTTGTTTGGTTTGCTTTTGTCAACCTGACACAAACTAGGTTCATCTGGGAAGAGGAAATCACAACTAAGAAAATGCCTCTATAAGATTGTCCTGTAGGCCAGTCTGTGGGGGCATCTTCTTGACTTCAGTTGATGTGGGAGGGAGGACCTAGCTCACTGTGGGTGGTGCCACCCCAGGGCACATGGTCCTGGGTTGTATAAGTAGTCTGAGTAAGACATGAGGAGGAAGCCAATAAGCAGCACTCCCCTGTGGTCTCTGCTTCAGCTCCTGCCTCAGCGGCCCTCAATAGACTGCGACTTGAGATATATGAGCCAAATAAACCCTTTGCTCCCCAAGTTGCTTTTGGTTATGGTCTTTATCACAGCAAAAGAGAGCCAATGAAGACACTCCCTGCCCACACCAATTCCTGTTCAGAGAGAGCTTGTTGAGCCTCTGTCCCTCTGTGTCATCTCCTTTGATGCCCCAACTAAAAGCCCTGTGTCCCCTCTCAGGCTCTTGTCCTCCGTAGGAGACCCAGCCAGTCTCTGTGCTTCCTTCTTCCCAACACTTCCAGGAAATGGTCTCCTCTCCTGTGAGTAGGAGCCCCTGCCAAGGGACCACCAAGGGACACAACTGTGCACGATGGGGTTGTAAGGATCTGCAATTTTCTCTGTCTATGGAGAAGAGTGTCAACTCCAGCATGGCTCCCATGCCCTGTTGCTCTTATGTCAGCTTTGTTGTCCTTCCTGGAAGCTGAGCTTCCTGGCAGGAGGCAGCACCTCCCAGGGTCACTTCAGCTGAGGGCAAGGTCTGTGTCCCTGACGCTGCCCCACCTCTTCTCTCAATGTGGGCCTTCCATTCATCTCCCCCTTTCTCTCTTTATGGTCCAGTCCTCTAGAACATTCTTTGAGTAGAAAGGCTAATCAGGGACCCTTGGCCTGAGAGAACAAGGGTCACCCAAGGACTGACCTCTGCCATGTCCTGTCCTTGTCCCTGTCAGAACCAGATAGAGATCCTGTGCTT